AAGCGGAAGACGGTGGGAGTGGGGAGGGGCGGCGGTGGGGCGGGTGGCAACCCCGGCAAATGAAGTGAAAGTGACAAAATTAATGAATAAATAGCCGACGTGCCTGGTGGGTCTAACGAAGCCCCGTCAGCGCCGTCGTGACGGCCGCCGCGCGGCACTCGTCTTCGTCATTTGCATCCGGGATGTCGTCGCCGGGGCGGCCACCGCAGCGCCACCGCCCAATGGGGCACATGCCGGCCCGATGGTATGTCGTGGCCGAGGTCGGAGCCGAGGCTAGGCCAACCAGGCCGGCCAGAGTCTCTGGCGTCTCTACAAAAATTCGAGTCGTATTTAACAGCAGACGCCGGCTACCCCGTACTCTCTTTTTCTCTCACTCCATCCCTCCGTCCCTCCCCTAGGGTGCAAGAGAGTCGCCGCCGCCGCCAGCAGCATGGCTGTGCCGACTTGGCTCGGCGCCCAGGGCGCTCATGGCGATAACATAAACACTAATTAGAACTTGCGTTTGAGGAGGGCGACCACCGCGGCACCGCGTATTGTGCGGGCTGTGGGGCGGGGGGCTTGGCGGCGTTGAGCCTGGGCTTGAGCTGGCCACGGCCGGGCCGGGCTTGGCCATTGCGAGGCACTCGCGCGTGTTGACATGGTCATCCCGGGGGCGTGCGCTGCTGCCGCAGCTGCGCACTCACACACGCGCGCACATCGTACTCCAGCGCACTCACACGCAGCGGCGGCGGTGGCAAAGGGGGCTTGCGCGCAAGAGCGCGGCCCTGATTTGCATATGTTTGGATAATTTGTATTCATATAGCTCTCCGGGCGGGTCCGGGCCGGCCCGTGCATGCGCCGCCGCCCCTCCCCGCAAACTGTCCACAAACCGCAGGCCTGACCCCACATGTACCCCCGCCGCCGCCGCTGCCACCAACAGCCACCCCGCCCGAGGCCGTGGACGGGGCCACCAAGCTCTGACGCTGACGCCTATACCCCCTGGCCTGGACGTGCGTGTGAGCCGTGAGCCCTGCCGCTGTATCGACGTGACAGAGGACGTCGCCGGAGCTAGGCTCCACTACGGGCTCAGGGCGCGGGCGGGCG